AGATGGAGCTGCAATGCGAGCTGGTGTGCAGACAGGAGATAGGATCATTAAGGTTAGCTTCCTCATTTATTTTCTTCTTGCCTCTGGGATCAGCAAATGAACCTTAATGAGTCTAAAATACAAGAGCACATTAGCACCAATTTTTCCTTTGTTTTAAAACTTTTTTTTTTTATTTAGTTCCCCAAAATAAAGATTCAAATCCAGTTCTTATTTCTTAGGAAATCTGTATTTATTGTACACAATGGGATGGGTATCAGGCATGTTTTCAGAGTGGTACTTCTGCTCCAATGTAGTATCTGTACAGTAAACCTCACAGATAATGACAAAGGGATTAGCATTGTGTAGTAAGTTGAATGCAGGATGTTTTTGTCCTACTGTTTCTTGACTTTGGCACAAACATTTTCAATGTTTTCTCAAGGACACATTGATAGTGTGCAATTTAAAACGCGCCACAAGTAGTTTAGTTAGGACTAAAAAAGGAGATGGATAGTTCCGTAAGCGGTGATGTGCATTTATTGGAATGATGGAGGCAGTAAGAGCAGCCGCAAGATGACCCAAAAGGAAAGAAAAATCTGGAACAGCATCAGAAGGGAAGCTGCGATGGAGGTGGGTTGCACAAAGGCTTGCAGATGCGCAGCAATTGTTGGACAGGCTGCTGCCTTGTTCACTGAGGGTTGCCACAGTTTCTAGCTCCACATGCTTGATTTGGCGGCTTTTTACACCAGATGCCCTCCATGATGCAACCCCAAAGGGATTTTTATGTTCTCCAGGGGTTATTAGGAAAGATAAAGTAGCTTAAATGGCGCTCCCTACGTGATTTGCTAATTTGATGCGTATAAGGGTGTCAGTTGAGCCATTAGGTGAGGTGGGCTGGCATTTAGATCAGCTGAGCTGCTGTGTTTGTGGCTGAATTTCACTTTGTACCTTCCTGAACTGATGCTGTGCTCGATTTTCAAATAATAGACAAATGAGAGCTACACAGAACAGTTTCATGCTTCATCACTCTTTCGCCTCTGCACAGCTGGGCAGTCACAATGAGACGTGGTAATGACTGGACTGATGACTTTAGAAAGTTAAAAAGAATCTATAGATTATTTGCACTGTAATAAAATATCAGAAAACCAACATGCAGTTCACAGTGTGACCTGTTCATGTTGTAAGTCCTGCTTTATCTCTATCCATTTTCTTCCATCCCAGCTGTTATGTGTTTTTACTTTTCTTAGAAATATTATAAAAACAGGGTCTCACAACAGCTCACATGCTTTCTCCATACTTTCCCATCTGATTTTTACTGGTCTATCAAAATAAAGGCTATAAAATGCCTGAAAAAGTACTATAAAAGCAACAGAATTAATAATAAAGTGATCAGCTAACCAAATGTTTTTGAGCCACTTCAGCTTTGTGTCACAAAGCTTCTTCCCTGTTATGAATGCATGCATACATTTCTTGTGGCTCTTTTTAAACATGTTCAGAAATAACAAATGAGCCACTAAAAGCACAGTGAAGTCAGTGAGATGGACTGATGTCCACGGATAATTTTGATGTTGTCATGGGGTTTGTTTAGAATAACAGAAAAACAGAATGATGCCACATAGAAACAGTGACTACCACGAATGAAATAAACAAAACAGTATAATTGTGGGTTTTAGGCTTTAAGGAACATATGTTGGTCAGTTGTAGAAATTCATTGCTAATGCTTTTTGTCTTTGGACAGGTCAACGGGACCTTAGTTACACATTCAAACCACCTAGAGGTTGTAAAGTTGATAAGATGTGAGTATGCTCTAATTATTTACATCCTTAGTTTGCTGTATCACATCTGTTGTGTTGTTTGTGATTTACAAGGCTCATTAAGAAGATATTATTAAGTCAACATAAACATTAGTTGAGTTGTTTTAATCCTAAACTACATTTGAGCAAAAAGATCTTAAGTGACTTATCAGAAAAGATGAGACGTGTCAGCTAACATTGTATTATTATATATAGACTCGAAGCCAAAACACTGCCTTTATAAGTTATTGCAGCATAAGTGCTACAGTTAGCAGTTCAAACAGCACATTATCTCATGACATAACATATAAGCATACTTGCTCTGCAGATTGCTTATTGTTCCTCTAACGGTCTGACACATTGGGTTGTCTAAGCTGGTTCTGATGGCTTTTATATTCTCCCCTCCCTTCACCCTCCCTTCATTCCTTTCCCATGACTCCTCTCTGGCAGCGGGCTCCTATGTAGCCCTGACAGTGCTGGGGAGGCCTCCAGGGCTTCCTCAGATCCCCCTGGAAGAGGAGAAGGAAGGGAACAAGGAAGGAGGAGACACTCTCTCAGCACCCCACTCACCTGCACTGTCAGGTGGGGAGCAAGGCAGCTTCTTGACCAGCAGCACACCCTGTAGCCCTCAGGACAACACCACATCCTCCTCTCTGTCTGATGGGGTAAGAAAGAGGAGAATCCTGTTGTAAGCTGTGTAAGCAGCGTCACATTTAAAGTGTGGATGAATGCAAAAGCGAGGATTTCTGCAAGTATGTCTAAGAGGGTGTATAAACTTCCATTAGCACAATAAGTGAACAACACTGTATATAATTTTGAGACATAAACACACACAGCAAAAAAACTCAGCTGCTATTTTACTAATGAAATCACCGTTAACCTGTTATTGCAGGTCTCATTGAAGGCGGGCGGGACTTTAGTAAACTGTATCAGATGATGGAAAAACCACAGTACCGCTAGAGGAAAATTAGCTTTGTTCTGCAATAAAGTATCACCCAATATGGTCACTGTAAACATTTTATGGGCCTTGACAAGTGAACGTAATGTTCCAGCCGCTAGATCGATCCATCAGGCTTTAACGTTGTTTTTAAGTGCACTTACTTACATTCTGAATGAGTAACTTGGCACAAATGATCCTCCAGAGGTTGTTCAGTTTAAATTATTACCAGAACAAAAATATGTAATGAAATAACACACGTACTCAAAAAGATAATAAGAATAATGTAATTTGTTATTATTTAAAGTAATTATAATACATGGTGAATTAAAAAAATAAAATAAAATTTGAATGAAGGAGCTTTATACTCAGATTAATGCCTCCTTCTGCTACAGCGGTGAAGTGAAACCTCAGTCCTCTGACACAATGTTATTTTTAACTGTGACAGGGTTCGTGATAAGCTTATCTGGCTGGTACAACCCATGCAGCTCATTATTTTTAATTAGCCTCATCGTTCCGGTCCATTTCAACCAACTTTTTACTGAAACTGCTGCAGGATGTCAGCAGTGTGTCCACCGTGTAACATCGAACGAGTCAAACTTTTTCTGCAATGTGCATACGATTTAGGGATTGTTGAAACTCTGGACTTTCGGCTTTCAATTTGGAAGTTATTTACTCAAATGCTCAAACTTCGACAGGATTACGTGCCCAATTATTATGTTTAAGTCACATTTTCCCCTGTCAGATTTTATGTCTAGTTCAATTTAAATATAAGTAATCTCATTTTAGTCATACTTCTGGTTAATAAAACCAAATGAAATGGTTCAATTTTCCTTATAAAAGACCAGTATGTAACCAACCATTGCACTTAAGATTTCCAAGCATCAACTTCCCATAATCCTACTGTCAGAAGGTTGTGGTCGTAAAATCCATCCACATCTAAAAAACTCTGGAAAAATTATAAAATAATTTTGCAACCATGATATTCCGTGACTAGTTGGAGGTCCAGGGTCACTAGATGATCTTTAGTCTGTATGATCTTAATCATTTGTAACTGATAACAGTCTGAATGAATTCATGCATACAGTTCCATAAGTATGTGGACAATAACATGTTTCCTGCAGTTTTGCCCTTGTATACCACCAAAGTGACTTTTCAATCAAATGATCAAAATGTGATTGAAGTGCAAATTTCCAGCTTTAACCCATGGACATGAATGCTGTGTGTCCTCCTCAGTGCTACTCTGGTAGGTCTTTATTGCAGCCACCTTCAGTTTCTACTTGTTTGTGGGTCTCTGTGCCTTCAGTTTTCTGCATGGTCTGTTGGGTTGAGGGCATGTGACTAACTTGGCCTTTGAAGAATATCCCTTTCTTTGCTTGAGAAACTCTTGGATTGCATTAGCAGTTTGCGTTGGCTCATTATCCATTTAAAATGTGAAGTTCTGTCCAATCAGTTTTGTAGCATTTGCCTGAATTTGAGCAGAGAGTACAGCCGCATACACAGCAGAATTCATCCTGCTGCTTCTATCAGAAGTCACATCATCAAGAAACACTAGCAGTCTGGTTTCAATGGCAGCCATACGAGCCCATGCCATAACGCCTCCTCCGCCGTGTTTCACTGTTAATGTGATATACTTTAGATCTCTTTCTCCATGCTCTTCTCTTCCCATCGTTCTGGGTTATCTTGCTTTCATTTGTCCCAATATTTTTTTCCCAGATCTGTGCAGGCTATTTGAAATGTTCTCTGGAAAAGTCTAATCTGGCCTTCCTGTTCTTGAGTATAAACAGCGGATTGCACTTTGTTATAAGCCCTGCGTGTTTACACTCATGAAGCCATCTCTTGATTGTAGACTTTAACAATGATATGTCTGCCTCCTCCTCAAGAGTGTTCTGGACTTGGTTAGATGTGAGGGGATTTTTTTTTTCTGTTGCTGCTGCCAGTACATTCCTTCTTTTTAAGAATGTATCAGAATGCTGATCTGGCAGGTTTTCTGTCTCTTTGATAGGTTTATTTTGGGTTTTCAGCCTCCTTTGCTTGCATCGACATCTTCCACCAAGCAGCTGTAAAATGCAAGTTCAGCTTAATTTGTCACTGAATAAAAGAACATGAAACTACTTGTCAATCAGTTGTCCAATTGCTTCTGAGCCTCTGAAAATGGGGGACTGTGTATAAAAATGGCTGTAATTTCTAAACAGTTAATGCAATACATTTGTCAAAACCCCTCGAATTTATCACTGAATGTTTGTACTCTAATCATGTCTTGATTGTTTGATTTTTTTTAAAAATTTTTTTTAAATCTCCTGAGGTGGTGTGGAGAGGCAAAATTAAACAAACAAAAAACAAAAGGTGGTGTCATGATCCAATAAAGGAATATATATACATGTATGTATATGTTTGTCTGAATTTCAGGAAGCAGCCACGGCTTCCTGGAATGGTGAGAATAAGGATGGAGACGGTGGGTCTCCTCCGAAGGAACAGACCTCACCCACACCGAGTGACAATGGCCCCCTGATCAATAACAACTCAGTGAGTACACCGACACATCAGAGCATTTAATATGGTGCCAGTTGGTAATGACGATGTAGGCTGGTCATGTATGAGTCGATAAACAGATGTCAGAGGTGTTCTCGGTTCGGCTTTTGAACAGTTTTTTCAGTTTTATTCTGTCATTACTTTAAATGTTAAAGCTGATAAAATATGATAAAAGTTAGTTGATAAACTTGACTGAACATTAAGATTTTATATATTATAAGAGCCCTCTTTTCTCGGCTGTAAAGTTAAATCAACGCTTCAGGTATTTTCTGACCACTTATAGATTTTTAAAAAAAAATTAAAGTCACACTTTTCATTTTTACCTCTGAGTTTTTGAGCTGCTGCTGCTGAGCAAGGATTTTTGTTAATAATCTATTGTAGCAGTAACCACCATCTAATGTTAAACACATCACAAAGCCTTGCTGCTTACACAGACTGCTTTGTAATAACAGTCTTTTTATCACAGCTTCTAAAAATAGGAATTAAGTAGTGCTTTCCACTCTCAGGAATTTCCCAGTATTCAGCACCAGACTAAACAATCAATTTGGTTTAAGTGTTTTGTGTGTCATGTGTGTGTTAATGTGCATGCATCTGTGTCTGCATTAGGTTCACAGCAGCCCCCTCTTTGACAGGGAGTCCCTCTGTAGCCCACAGTGTCAGAGCCCAGACATTAGTCGGCGGGATGGCCTCAACATCTGCACATCGCCAGAGGCTGAGGATGCCGCTGACACAGTAAGATGCACACACAAATTTGATTTGGTGTAAATTTGACATTAAACATGTTTAATTTCACATGAATAAAACTAGACAAGCAATGACAATAGGCCCCTCCTATAAATTAGCCAGAAGAGCCAGAAGTTATTATTTCTCCATCATCACAATATTCTATCAGTGTTATTAGCAATGCCTTGCATGTTTGGTTAGTGAACTGCATGAGTTGAAAGTGTAGGAGTATAATGCAGAGACTCGCATCCCCTTTTTCCTCAGCTGCCATGTTGGAACCTTGGCAGGTGTATGGTCATTTACAGCCACAAATGGTCATATTTACACTAAAGTCTCGAGTGCTTGTAAGCTTGGTTAGCAAGTTGCACAGACAAAGGGTACACTCATACTAACTGAAGCACAAACTTCTTGGATGCTTTGCATCACAGAGAAAGCCCAAATATAATATAGTGGTTAGCACTGTTGCCGCACAACAAGAAGGTCCT